AAGTACATTAATCTCTGATACAATTTCTGTTGTGTTGGGCATTACTTAAGTTGGGCTAGGTTTATCTACATCATCATCATTGTTATCTGCATTATTATAGGCTATTTTAAAGACACTGGGAGAGAAGGGTGTATGGTGAGTAGTTACTTTAATGAATTGGGGCTGGGCGTATAGCTTAATGTTAGCACTTGACTGGCATATGTAAGGCCTTGGCTTTGGTCCCCGACATTGGGAAAGGGACGTTTAGTACTAGTAGCATCTTGCTGCACATAGTAGCGCATACCTGTAATCCCAGCACTTGGGAGCTGAGGCAGGAGGATCACTGTGAGATCTAGGCCAGTCTGCACTACAGAGCAAGGCCCTGTCTCCAGAAGAAAAAGAAAAACTAGCATCTTAAAGTTTAGCAGAAGCATTTTATACTATAATTGTAGATGTTTTAGTGAAGCGCTATAATGCTTGGTTTGCTAATAGGATAATCTATAAACATTTTCCCCAAATTTTGAATTGGCCTTTCACTCAGAGATATGTTAAAGTTTCTTTGGGTGAGGAAAGGACAATTTTTAGTCAGAATAGCCTTAAGTTTCAACAATTAGACCATTTCATGATAGGTTCTTCTGTCTGATGTATAGACAATGCTAGAATGTTTTGTTTTGCTTTTGGTTTTTGTAGTACAGGGGATTGAACCCAGGCAGTGCTATGTCCTATGTAGCGCTCCTTTTTTTTTTTTTTTTTTCCTCTCTCTCTCTCTGAATTTTATGTTGAGACAATCTCACAAAGTTGTCTGGACAAGCCTCAAACTTGTGGATCCTCCTGCTTCAGCCTCCTAAATCCTTGGGATTCCATGTCCTCCACACCACACCCAGCTTAGAACGAGTTTGTTTTGAAGACCTAATTTTTATCATAATTCTTAAACTCTAACATAGTGTTTTAGGCACTGTGTCTTTCAGAGCAAGTATTTTAACCTGGGATTGGTAGATTCACCTACACATTGTGGTTACATGTGTTTTTCTGTGGAGATACTTTTAAGGCACTAATAATGAAATGAAATAAAATTTAAACAGTAGAAATTTCTTTTTATAGGTAAACTTTCCTGAAAATGGCTTTCTTTCTCCTGATAAACTCTCTTTGCTGGAAAAACTCCTACCCGAGAGGAAGGAAGTAGAAGAGACGGATGAAATGGATCAGGTAGAACTGGTGGACTTTGATCCAAATCAGGAAAGACGGCGCCACTATAATGGAGAAGCCTATGAGGATGACGAACATCATCCCAGGGGTGGTGTTCAGTGTCAGACCTCTTAATGGGGCAGTGAATAATACTCACTGCTGGCATTTTGTGTGCAGTAGTGAACACACGAAGGACTATAATCATTTGCTCACTACTTGCTATTGTTTTTGTTTCAATATTCAATTATAGTAGTGTTCGAAAAGTTACATGAAGAATAAACGCAAATATAAAAGCTCTGACTTTGCCCTGTATGTATGAAGACTTCAGTGTGCAAGAAGATTAATGCCTGTAAAAAGTATCTTAACTCTGGCATCTGTTAGGCCATACCTTGTAATTGATTGTAGTTGTGTACATGGACACTCTTAGACTGAAATGCTAGGTATATGTGTTGACTTTAGTGTATGACCCTTCATTGTTAAGCTATGGATTAAAACTGTATTTAGCTGGGGCGTGGTGGCTCACACCTGTAATCCCAGCACTTGGGAGGCTGAGGCAAGAGGATCACTGTGAGTTCGAGACCAGACTGGGCTACATAGTGAGTTCCAGGTCAGTCTCACTACATAGTGAGACCCTGTCTAAAACAACAACAACAAAAAAAAACAAAAAATTGTATTTAACTGGCAATCAGAAAAAGGCAAAACAGTTTGTAGAAGTGTTGGTCTGTCTAGTTATTTGTATTAAGTGGGATTCATTGTGATGTCTCTGCATTCTATTGCCTCAACTATTACTTGAAGGTGGCATAAAATATAATTTAGCCTGTGGTATCAGTAATAGAAAAATGATAACTTTCTAAAGAAGGCGTTTATCATAATGCTGCTTCTTAAGGGCTTGCATTTCTAGTATTGCATTCCCTTCTGCTGTGCCATCTTTTTAAATATATATATATAACTATGTTGACCAGTCCTGGTTATATTCTTTTTCCCTTCTCTTTGGACCATGATAAGCCCTTGAGTAGTGACTTCAGAGCTGGGTAACTTTGAAATTTAAGTGAAGAGACTACATGGAAGCTAATTTGCATGTTTAATATAAGGTGTTCCTTAGGTGTGTTACAGGCTTATTTTAACACATTTGACTTATGCTCCAAAGTATCTGTAATTTTATGGTAATAGTACAGCAAATATGATGAATAGCTTTACTTGTGTGTTTAAGTCGTGTTCACATGCTTAAATCTGGGTATCAGAATTTAAGCAACTGTTGAAATGTATGAATGTCTCCTTAATATACTGATTACAAAGCACTTCTAATGTGTCACTACAGGCTCTTTTTCTCAGATTATCAAAGCATTTGCTTTTAATACATAATTTTTTTCCACTTAGCTAAAATTACTATTAAACTGTAGTAATGGGTAGGAAGTGAAAAGTGGGGGCCTAGGTTTAAATCAAGAAAAAGGGGGCTTTGGAAACAACTACTAGGGTGTATAGTCTGGTTCTGCTGAATCTACTGTAATTGGGAAACTTACTGTAATCTGGAAGTAGTCTGAAGTTTCACACTTAGGGAACACTTGTGTTGAAAAGGAAACACGGGTGTTTCCTCCAGGGATATAGGTAAGTTAAACTCTTGAGCCTAAGCATCAAGATGATTATGTACAGCTGAGGTAGAAACCCCACCAGCATAGGGATAAAGCTAGCTTATCACTCTTAACAGTATTGGCACTATTGGAGCAAGTCCAATAATGGTAGCATTTGCTTTAGCAAATTTTAAGCTCAAGTCAGCAAAAGTTCATACACAAATATATGTTGTATTTGATAGCAACTTTTCTTCTGAAATATTGGAAAATGGAAATCTAAAAGCACAGTGCATGAAAGTGCTAGAAAGCTACAAAATATAGATACTATTTTTGCACCTTTCTAAAACTGGTTATCTCAGCAGCCTTTGTAGAACTTAAAACTACTGTACCTGTGAAGAAACTACTCCAGTCTTACTCTCATATTGGAACATACTTTATTGGCCTCACCAGTTTTTAATTATGTTGGTCTGGTATAGGGCCTAAGAATTTGCCTTTCAAGGTTCTAGTGTTTGCCTTTCAAACCAGTGGTCTAGCCTGAGAAAAATATGACAGCCAAGACTGGAGAATCTGACTCTTGTAATGCAGTGCTTTCTGTTCACCTCACCTGTGGTCTACTTAGGTAAATATGTTAACAGAATGTGTAAACAGTCTATGGAGTCTTTGCCTCAGTTCATACCTAAATGGGAGACAGGCAAGATTCAAAGGAGGTAGACAATAGAGATTACTTGGTTTTTCAGTGTGTGCTCCATGCAAATTGTGTAAGGAGCCTTTGATCTGGAAACCAGTTTCTTTGTATAGGTTTTAAGTAGTATGTTCCTCATAAAGTGGTTCTGAGGAATAAGGTTGCTTGCATAGTAGAAAAGGCTTAGTAGAAGTTAATTATGGAAGTAATTAATACAAATTCAAAAGGTACTGTGCTTGAGATTTATATCATTTGCTGTTTTATTTGGGGTGCATGCCTATAATCCCAGCTGAAGCAGGCTCACTGCAAGTTCGAAGCCAGATGAGCTATGCAGTTCAAGAACAGCCTGAACTACCAAGATCCTATCTCAGAAAAACAAAGAATGCCTTGAAATAGCTTTGTCAGAAGGTAACAGTGGACCCTCAACTTATGACTGGCCGATTAATCTGCGTCTTACTATCTACAGTTTGTACCCAGGTAAACATCCACATCTCAGCTGTATTGACTTAGTTACTACCAGCCCTTGGGAACTGATCAAGTTCATAAGTCAAGGGTTCTCTGTACAATGTTTCCTAGTCAATAACAACTGAGTGGAAGGAAAAATGAACTTATGCCACGCAATTTTAGGTTTTACACACAAGAGCTATCAAGTCTGGTGGATGGCAGAGGATCTCCCAGCAACCTCAATCTCCACTTCATCTTGCCAAGGTAGTGCAGATTGTCTGGGCACACACAACTTCCACCAGCCTCTACCCTTAACCCGTACCAGGGTTCCTGGAGGAAAAGGCCCAGTGGTGCCCAGATTGGCAGACTCAGCTCTGCCCGCCTGCCCCATCCCCTCTGGGGGAGGGACTGCCTCACCAGGGACCTAGGGCCAGACTGCAGCACTCAATTGATGATTCAACCTTCGGCCTTCACAACCCCCACATCCAGAGGTCTGGGAGGTGATGAGTGTTCCCAATTAAGAACACCATGTCCTAATTAAAGATTAATAAAGTTTACCTTGTAAAAGGTTCTCAAGAAGGGAAATATGTTTCTTATTTTACAATTCTGTTAGACCCAATGCATTTTACTGAAAAAAGATTCCAATCTGCCTGGCCTCAAAAAAAACCACGAACTCAACATTTGCCTGCCTTGCTACTGGAACAAACTAGTTTGTGGAAAGTTTCCTTCTGGTAACTCGAGCCAAAATCCTTTCCAGCCCCTTTGGTCCATTTATAATCATCTCCAAGGAGCCTTTCCCAACAGCTGGTGGGTCAGCTGCCCACATAACCAAAAACAACTCCAAACTTTTATCACACTATTTTAACACTCCTTTTACCTTGCTCTTCCTTACAGTAAGGTAGACTAGGAACTTCGAACCATCCTTCACACTTGGTGCCAGGAACAGAAGTGTTCCACAAGATTCTTTGAGCGTAGCTGGGCACCTTATACACACCTATAATCCCAACTATTCAGGAGGCTGAGATGTACAAGGTCAGTATGCAATTTAATGAGGCCCTGTCTCAAAATTTTAAAAGGCTGGGGATATAGCCCCAGTGTTAAGAGTACCCCCCTGGGTTTAATTCCCAGTACCAAAAGAAAACATTCCTGAATAGAATAAATATTGTGTGCCGAATTTTTAATTTTATAAGCACAAACTGCATTTCACAACTGCCTGTTCAAGTTCAAGAGGTGCATCAGAAATACTTTTCAGCCTTGCCTAGGTGGGTGGTTCAGCTGGGATGGTGGACTACATTCTGAACTAGTAACAGCTTTTGAGTTGGATACTTACAAGTTTTATGATGGGAGGCACATTTTAACCAACCCAAAGGAATTTTTAAACTACCAGTATGTTTGAGACCTCTTAGCATTTCTTAAACATCAAAGTGGCAACAAGTGACATTACCAAAGACAAGGCTGCAGGTTTTGTGGCAAAATGGAAGTTAAGCTACACCATGTGACTGGAGGGCTAAGGGTGTCATTCTTTGGTACAGCACTTGTCTAGCAAGCTCAAGGTTCTAGGTTCAATTCTTAGCGCCAGGAAAACGTTAACTAGAAAGGGAGTTTTTTTGGTTTTTGTACCAGGGATCAAACTCGGACCTTGTGCTTGCCCAGTGCCACTCAGCTAAATCCCTAGCCCGAGGAATTTCGTGATGCTAGAAAGAATAAATTCAGCCAACATTGAGCACAACAGTACATAGGCATAGAATTAGACAATTGAAATCAAAATCAAAGATAAGGTAGAATTCAAAAATTTTTAAACCGTCGCCACATTTGTAGTTTGTGGTGTTTACAGACACAATATCTCACTTCCTTGAACTAGTCCTCAGTATAGTATCCATACATCATAAGTACTCTGTACAATCTTCAGTGTGAAGTGAAACATCCATGGGCAAAGTATTTTGGAAAACCGTTGGCTGGGAATACAGCTCAATGGGAGAGTACTTGGCTGAATATTCAAGAGGGCCTAGGTTTAGCTGGGATCACGGACATGTGCCACCACACCCAGCAACTTAAAATTTTTTCTTTAGCTAACCGGTAAATATGTACATTGCAAGACTTTTTCTAAAAATGTCAGGTCCTCTTCTAGCTTTACTTCAGAACAATGGCGCATTTTGAGTGCCAAATACTCCTCCACTTGCAAAAGATGCCAAAACTGAATTCTCATAGCCGACATACAACTAGCTCCATCTAGAAGATGGACACAATAATCATGTGAGAAGGTGCAGCCCATCATGAGCAGTTGTGAGGGCAGTAAAATGAGATCCTTTGCATTACCTTGCTGATTTCACATCAGCTGTCCTATCCCAGGAAATAACTTCCTGCTGGACTTAAAATTCAGGGATGATGATTTATCTCCACCTCTGCATTTGTTTCTAAATATATTAACTAGATGAGCACTTATTTACAAACAATCTCCAGAAAGCTGTAAAGTTTATTAACATTTGAAAGATGGGGGATGGGAACATAGCTACTGAATTCTGGGTACTTATTTACAAGTTTTATGAGAGGCAAATTTTAACCATTTCAAATAATCAAGGATTTTTTTTTTTTTTTAAATACCAGCACTTCATTCTCCAGGAAAGAATGATGAAGGGGATATTTAGCCCAGTTATGCCACACCTACCTTGTAAGAAACAAGGTCCTGAGTTTGAGCCCCAGTACCAAAAATAAGGATGAAAACATTTCAGTGACTGACTAATCGTTAGAAGCAGACAGACTATGGGCTGGGCCTGTAGCTCAAAGTAAGCATTTATCTAATGTGTGTGAGGCCCTCGGTCCTATTCCTGGCATTGGAAAAGCAAAAAAAGACAAACTAATACATTAAAAAAATGTATTTTAAGAAAGGCAACTGCCAAACGAAGTTTCACAAAATTATTCTTGTGGCTAATCAGTATCTTTGCTTAGAAAAGCTGGGCCAAAAAAAAAAAAGCTAACACATACATCAATATGCCTTCATTTAAGTACATGCTTTCAGATTTTTTTTTGTAAAATAAAGGTTGAATTAGGGTTTCCAGAGCTTTAAGAGTCCATCTTCACTGTAGGTAGCAATGAGGTTCTGATGAGGATGATGTGCAATACCAATCACATCCTTTTCGTGAACCTGGAAGAGGTAAAGCACAGTTAGGATGCACAGGTCTGTAATACCACTCTAAAGAGGCTTCCAGAACTGAATGGGAGCCAAGAAGAGATCTTGAGAGACCACATATTCCAATAGCACAGAGGGTGGCCATCCAACTCACATCACAATGGGACACAGAAGTTGTACTGAGTGAAGCCACTTTGGGGACTGTTAAGAGCACCTGGCATTAATTACTTCTTACACTGACTTTAATATCATAAAACAAAGTTTTTAAAATATCTTAATCTGAAAGGGTAACAGGCGTTCAAAAGGAAAGCCAGGGATAGTGGGGCACACCTATAATATAGCCCACCACTCTGGGAGGCTGAGGCAGTTGAATCAAAACCAGTCCGAGACACTGTCTTATAATTTAAAAAATCTTTTAAAAGGGACAGGATGTAGCTCAGTGTGAAGGCCCTGGGTTCAATCCCCAGGTACCAGGAAAATAAGATTGAGGAAAGTATATTTATTACTAATCCCCTGAGAAAGATCTGACCAATCTAGCCGGCTGACAAGTATATACCCTTCTCTGCTTTCTGTACACTCATTCTAGCCCCATGAACCTGGGGGCAGGGGGTTGCTGAAGAATGACTTTTCCTGATAATGGAAGCAATTTCATACAATTTACCCATAGTTTTGCTCTGTGATAAAATATGCTTCCATTACATTTTTTTTATACTGAGGGTCACATTAATAGCAGTCAGTTTGGAAAAGGTGTGTACTTCAGAGTTCAGAAAGATATCATTGCCACAATTTCTTTAGATGACCTTGGTATTACTTACTGTCAAAGTTCTCTCCAGCTTGCCAGTGACTGTACTGAAACAGTAGAGCACAAAGTCCTCTCCCACGCAGTAGATCCATTCACCACGGGGAGACAGGGCACAGCAAACAAAGTCACCACCTTCTCTTTTACCAGAGCTAAAGCTTCTGACAATCTACAGCACATCACATCCCAAGACAAGAAGAGAGCATCAGGATTAGCAGCACAAGCATGGGCAGCATTTTAAAAACTGACATTTTTCATTGTGTGCTAAATCTTGCCTCAGAAACACTCAATGAATAAGCTACCTAAAGTAGCAGAAAAGCTTTGAATTTATACATCCAGCTCACCAATCCTGCTCTTTAGTATACTGACTACATTACCCAGAAAGAAATTCATTACCAAATATACAATTTGCAGAACTGCAAATTCTCAATTCTAGTTTTCAATGCTTTCTAGACTCTTTAAGGAAGGTGATGGTCACTCTTGTGCAGGATGGAACTATCTCTTAAGACTGTTCTATTTTTCTGTAACAGAATCATCACAAATCAATTCAAAAAAGAAAGCAATCTCAAAAGATAAATGGTTACATATTGTATGAATTCTATTTATACACCATACTCAAAAAGACAAGATTATAATAATGGAAAGTAATTAGTGACTGCCAGGACTTAGGGTTTAAAATGACATAATACATTAGCACCCTCTCCAAAGAAAAGGGTTAGTCTAAACAAAATCTTCACAAGACTTATATGAGGAAAACTACACAATTCTGATGAAATGTATCAAAGAATTAAATAGCTACTGACAGGCTCTGCATGTTTGTGGATAAGAAGACTAAAAAATGGTCAAAGGTGTCTTCCCAACTTGATCTATGGTAAATGCCAATCAAAATCCTAGCAAGTCATTTTGTGGACACTGATAAACTGATTCTTAAATTTATAAGGAGAGACACAAGACTCAGAATAGCAAATTCAATATTAAAAGAAGAGGACAGAGGTGGAGGACTAACACTACCTCAAGACTTAGTATAAAGCTACAGTAATCAAGATAGTTTGGTACTACAAAGTAACAGATCAATGGCATAAAGAGACCAGAAAGATTTACATAAATATAACTGACTGATCTTTTCACAAAGAAGCAAAAGCTAATAAGGGAGGAAAATAAAGGCTTTTCAAAAACAATTGGACATCACTTTTCACAAAAACTAACTCAAAATGAATTATATACATGAAATGTTAAAACTACAAAATTCATATACGATAATGAGAAAATCTAGATAATCATGTTTGGCGATGTCTTTCTTAGATACAATACCAAAACCACAATCCATGAAGAAAAGAATTGATAAGCTGGACTTGATTAAAATTTTAAAATTTCTGCTCTCTGAGATTCTCTGTGAAGAGAATGAAAAGGCACTGAGAGAAAATTTCTACAAAAATCATTTTATAAAGTACTATTATCCAAAATATACACAGAACTCTTAAAACTCAACACTAAAAAAACAAGCCACCCAATTTAAAAGGTCAAAGACCTTAACACTACCTCACCAAAGTGAACAGCATATGACAAGATGTCCCACATCAGGCACATCATTAGGGAAATGCAAATTACAAGGCACCACCTATTATAATGGCCAAAATACCAAACACTGGCAAGACCCAATTCAGGCAAGGATGGGGCAATATGAACACTCATTTGTTGCTTGTGGGAACAGAAAATATTAGACAACTTTTGGAAGGCAGTTTTGGCTCGCTCTTATAAAACTAAATATATGTAACCATACATCCAAACAATTGCACTACTTGGTATTTACCTCAAAGAGCTGAAAACATGTTCACACAAAAACCTGCAAGCTGTTTATAACAGTTTTATCCATAATTGTTAAAACTTAGAAGCAACCAAGATGTTTTTCAGTAGGTGAATAAATTGTGGTACATCCAGACAAGGAGTATTACTTACTATAAAAAGAAAATGAAAAAAAGGAAGAAATAAGCTAGCCCGGCAAGGTGGCCCATGCCTGTAGTAATCTAAGCTATTCAGGTAGCTGAGGTATGAGGACTCCTAGTTCAAGGCCAGCCTAGGTAATTTAGCAAGACCCTGTCTCAAAATAAAAAAGGGCTAGGGATGTAGCTCAGCATGAAGGCCCTGGGTTCAATTCCTAGTGAGAAAGAAAAAAAAAAAGAGGGGAGGGGAGGGAGAAAGCAAGGGAGGGAAGAAGGGGGAGAGGGAGGAAGGGAGAGGGAGGGGAGTGAGAAGGGGAAAGGGAGGGAAGAAGATAGAGAGATGGGGGTGGCTATTTTTAAGCAAAGAAAAAAAGAGGAAACAAAAGCAATTTTAAAGTCAATCTGAAAAGGCTACATACTATATGATTTCAACTACGTGACTTTCTAGAAGAGGCAAAAATATGAAAATAAAAAGATCCGTGATTTTCAGAAATTAGAGGCAAGGGGAGGATTAACAGGCACTAAAATAGGATTTCAGCAGATTTGGGGGGTACTGAAACTACCATAATGGTAAGCACATTCATTGTACATTTGTCCAAAAGCACAGAATCAGAATTGAGCCTTAATGTAAACTATGGCCTTTAGATAGCAAAGTTATGCCAACAGTAGATTCATCAGTTTTCACAAATACACAATTCTGGTAGGGAATCCAGTATCAGGGAAGCCTCTGCATGTGTGGGATTAGGCAGTATGTGGAAATCTCTGTACTCTGCTCAATTTTGCTATGAACCTAAACTCAGATACACAAAGTATTTTTTCATGAAAAAAATTGTAATAATGGGCCAGGGATTTAGCTCAGTGGTGCCACCACCTACCTGCCTCCTTGTAAAAACGCAAGGACCCAAGTTTGATCCCCATTACCAAAAAAAAAAAAAAAAAAAAAAAAA